ATGTCATAATGTGGGTTATGTTTTAGGAAGTGTTTTGGTGAACATGAGGTAAGCATAGTTTTGGTTAGTAGCTGTATTTCACTCAACTTTGACTTTTCATGTATAGTTTAAAACACGAGAGAGAGTGTTTTTTATATAAAGATTCGAGCTGAAGGTGAGAATCTTTATACCTGATAAAACACGATCTCAAGTGTTTTAAACGGCTTCCATAACTCTAACACTACTTTGAAACCCAAATTAGTTTTGAGATAAATGGGACAATAAGTGATCTTGTGTGAATCACTTTACAAAGCAGTCTTGCCATCCCACATTGAATACGCATAAAGTCAAATAGAAGCGCTGTTGACTGTTTACTGCAATCAGTTGACATCCTGCATTGGTCAATGATCAGGTATCAAACCTGAGACCTTTGCTAGGGTCATGGACCTTTATATCTGATAAAGATCACCCTTCTCAGTATTCTTTATGTAAAGAATACTTTATAAGGAGTGTTTTATCAGATATAAAAGTCCATGCATGTGACTGGCTCTGTCTATTTGCCTAATAACTCATTAATTATGTATGAGGTTTTGAATGATATATCATTTCTGTACCATCTAGACCCAGTCATTTCCATGCAGTCAGGCAAAGCGTTTCTCCTGCTGCCGTCCATGTGGTCGAMTTTTGTCATGTGGAAATCACAGTTGTAAACTAGAATGTCATTATGTAACTAGTGCCCCCAACATTAAAGAGGTAAGCAATAGAATAGGCAATCTCTTATTATGGCTGCTTACATATTTTAGGAARGTTATGCCTTTACTTTTTTGCTATTATAATATATTTTTATCAAATAGTGTAAGTTGTAGTTTAGCGGTGGTCACACCCAGGTTGAACATCTTAGCAAGATTCACGGAAGATCATGCATGATCTTACCAATACCATGATCTTTCCATGATCATACCACTGATCTTGCTAAAAAACATGCAAGATCTTTGTGTTTCTTGCAGCTCTTACAGGATCTTGTGTCAAGATCATTGTAACGTCATTGTCACRTGATGTGACCTTACAATCATGACAAGCAAGAACATGTCAAGATCCTGCCAGTTTCATGKCAAGATCTCAACATTTCATGGCAAAATACCATTCATACATTTACCTTTATTTTGAATGATCTCGCCA